CAACCTCACGATTACGAGTCCGGTATCCTAACCACTAGGCCACCGACACCACAACCTCACGAATACGAGTCTGGTAGCCTAACCACTAGGCCACAGACGTCACAACAAGGCTCTCACCTGCCGAAGGTTTCGGTGGGATCTGTCCAGGTCCCAGTGTTGACGTAATGTCGTCTCCGTCTGGGGCCGGCCGGTCGGGGGCCACGGGGGAAGTGCTGGAAGAAATATTATGAGACATGTATATATGTGAGAATATGATACATGTATAATATTGTTGTTACTGTAGAACGGCGATGATATTGTGAAATGTGGCTCTGTAAAAAGATGAGAGTTCTGTGAAACGAGAAGGGTGATGTAAAATGAAGGAAGGTACAGGGAAATGACCAAAATACTTGTACTGTAAAATTACCAGAAAACTGTAAAATGACGAAGGTCCTGTGGAATTAAGGAGGGTGATGTGAATGCACAAGCGCAGTTAAGATGTCAGAAAAAGCTAGAGATTACAAGATTTTTTGCCTTTATTTATTACATCTGAAGTTAAGCTTGGTTAGTGGATTAGTCGTAATGAAGAGCACATGGGGAAAACGACGGTAGTATCAAACAGGAAATTGTAAGTGTGCCAATTTTAAATGCATGTGGACTCAAAACTTCATATTTGTTTGACTGGTAGTTTATTGTTAAGTGTTGTTGAATGGGAAATCTAACAATACTATTCAACCAACAGTTGAACAGAAATACAGTTATGAGTCCAAAAGCGTTCAAAATTGGTACCGTCGCGATTTTCAGTTTGTGATTACCGTCGTTTTTCCCTCTGTAGTCTTCAAATGTTTAACACCCCAATTGACACAAACGAGACGATCCTACAAGGCATGGCCAACAGGGACAGCGTGAAAGAGATGCGGGGTCCCAGCTAGTCGAAATGTACCTTTACCCATAGTGCGACCTCAGTGCTTTCTTGTCCTATCTCCATTTTAATAAAAAGCGAAAACGGTTCATAACAAAGAGTCAGCTTAAGAAGAAGTCACATTTTCAATGTTTAAAAATGGATATAGGACAAGAAAGCGCTCAGGTCGCGAGGACGATTTTTTGAAAAAATCTTTTTGGTCTCATGTCCTGATTTTGTGGGCGATATTTGTAAGTTACGTAAAGGGTGCCAACATGGTAGAAATTGTTAATACTCCAAGCAAGAAAAAGAGAACAAGGAAAAGGAAAATTGTTTGGTCTATGATGATGATGATGATGATGATGATGATGATGATGATGATGATGATGATGATGACGACGACGACGACGATGATGATGATGATATATTTAATGTTGTAGAACTCACCTGAAGCGGCCCTGGCTCTCCTCGTCGTCGGAGATGAAGAAGCTGGAGCTGCTGTTGGTTCTGCTGGGGGCTTGGGGCGGAGCAAGTAGGTCCATGCTCTGGTCTGTGGGCGTGGGGAAGGAGTGGCGATGTCGTTAGTTGCATTTAAAAAGAGAAAGAAAAGTTAACCCTATCCGTACGTCGTGTTTTACTATCGTATCCATACGACGTGGGGAACTCTGTGCCATCACTTTCCAAAGAAGAAATGTACTCGTTAATCCGATCAGCACGCTTTGCATAGCAGTCTCTCAAAAAGATTTTTTGAGAAATACTAAAAGTTTCAAAGAAATCTTTGCACTAGAAGTATTCTAAAATGTGAAGAATACAACCCCGGGGTACAAAATGACCCCAGGGCGTACGGATAGGGTTAACTGCACTGTGATGTGGGGATTCTGTGTCTTTTTGTTGTTTTTGTTGCTGTTGGAAGGAAGCAAGAAAGACAAAAAGAAAGAAAGAAAGACAAAAAGAAAGAAAGAAAGAAAAAAAGAAAGAAAGAAGCGTTTAACTTACGGGAACTGTTCTGTCCTCTCTTCATCAGACTCGGGCTCCTGGAATGTGCGCCACTCCTGTCACTTCTGTCGTTGGGGCCCCGGTGGGCGTCACTGTGGTAGCTCTCGTCAGAACCTGGGGGGAGGGGGGAGGAGGGGTACATTAGATTAGTATGTATGTATGGATGGATTTAATATGGATGGATGGATGGATGGGTGGATGGATGGGTGGATGGATGGGTGGGTGGAGGGATGGAAGGATCGATGGATGGATGGATGGATGAATGGATGGGTGGATGGATGGATGGATGGATGTGTATGTGTGTGTGTGTGTGTTTATGTATGAATGTATGGATTAATGGATGGATGGATGGATGGGTGGATGTGTATGTGTGTGTGTGTTTATGTATGAATGGATGGATTAATGGATGGATGGATGGATGGATGGGTGGATGGATGGATGGATGGATGGATGGATGGATGGATGGATGGATGGATGGATTGATGTGTGTGTGTGTGTGTGTGTGTGTGTGTGTGT